ACTTATAGTTCACGTGAGGGGGGTGAAGTTCCAAAGCCTGAATATGAAAGCGATGAAGTGTTTATGATATGTATGACAGTACATTGGTATGATGAAAATGAACCTCTTCAAAAAATTTGTTTATGCACTCAAGATTTGAATACAAATGAGGATTGGATGTTTAAGAAATCAAATTCTCAAGAAGAATTGATTCTCGATTTTGCATATTGCGTAAAGGCAGTTAATCCAGATATAATGATTGGATTCAATGATGGTGGATATGATTGGCCATTTATTCTTAAGAAGGCTGAACAGTTTGATATATTAAGAGAATTTGTTAATGTGATGGAGGAGAAAAAATTTAGTGGAAGTTCTCTTGAGGATGCGAAGTTCAATATTCACGAAAAGTGCATTAAGATTACACCTCAGGATAGCGTGAAGGTGATGTATTTCAGGAAACCAGGGGTTTTGATGATGGATGTGATGGTGTCGTGTAGAAAGAGATATTCCAATTCTGAGAAAAATTCACTCTCGTATTTTTTAGAGATAGCAAATCTTGAGGGAAAGATGAATCTTTCTCATTTGACTTTGAGGAAATATTACCATGATGCCAAAGAGGGAATTACGGGTCCCAAAGAGTCGAAGGATAATATTGGTGAGATAGCAAGGTACTGCATGATAGATGCCAAGCGATGTCAGGAATTAATGATTAAGTTTAATGTAATTGATTCATATAGAAAAATGTCAAGCATATCTTATGTATCGATATTTGATTCTTATTGTTATGCTGGAGGCATCAAAGTATGCAATTTACTTGGTGTAGTTGCGCGAAGGATGAATATCTTAATTAATATGATTCGCGATGAAAATGTGGAGGATGAAAAATATCCAGGCGCTTACGTGTATGAACCGAATAAAGGATTAAATGTTAGAAGGCCAGTTACCGGATTAGATTTTGCTTCATTGTATCCAAGTCTTATGATGACATATAATTTATCACCCGAAAAAATGATTGTAAGTGAGATAGAGCGTGATAGATATGCATTGATTGGATATAAATTTCATAAAATTCACTTCACATTTAATGGAAGAGGTATCGAGGCATGGTCTGTAAGGCATGAGAATGAAGAAGAGTGTATGGGACTATACGTGATTGTTCAAAAATACCTGAAAGATAAACGCAGTGAGATGAAGTTAAAGATGGAAAAGTTTGATATAATTTTGGAGAGAAAGAGATTAAATAATGAATATGATGAAGAATTTAAGAATCTCAAATTTCAATACGATCAGGCGAATCTTGAACAATTAGCATTTAAGGTTTATATGAATAGTTTTTATGAAGAAGCCGGTAATCCATTATCACCTTTCTTTATACGTGAATTAGCTAGCGCTGTAACATCATTTGGTCAATATAATATCAAGATGATTTCAAATTACGTACAAGGATTAGGATTTAAGGTTTAGTATGGAGATACAGATTCATTATATCTTACTTGTCCCGATACATATTACGAAGAACAGGATATAAGATATCTGTAACAATACAAATGGTGAAAGGAGTGCCACAATATATGTCACACAAGTGGCACAGACAAGCCAATAGAAGGAGCA